GTTCTCCTGCCTGAGCCTCCCAAGTAGCTGGGATTATAGGTGCACGCCACCACACCTGGCTCATTTTTGTATTTTTAGTAGAGATGGGGGTTTGCCATGTTGGGCAGATTGGTCTTGAACTCCCGATGTCAGGTGATTCACCCGCCTTGGCCTCCCAAAGTGCTGAGCCATTACAGGCATGAGCTACCACACCCGGCCATAGGGAGTAACTTTAATAGTTAAGTGGCTTATTAATCTTCCTTCCAAGCCTGTCATTTCCTTGAGGGGTCCTTTGAAAGCAGGAGTGCTTCCTGGGATTAGGGAGATGTGAGCATCCGCATCCAACAGAGCCAGCTTGTGGTGTTTATTTTTTGGAGCCCAAACCACAGTTAATGGAAGAGGGCGATTGTCTTCCAGGGGAACCTGATTCCACAATCACCAGATCCCTGCGTGGGGTGGGTACCTGCCACTGGTGAAGATCAGGGGCAGGCAAGAAGGTGGGGATGGCTTGAAGGAGACACCAGAATCTGACCCTAGTCAGAACTGTAGCTGCCCCATGGCTTTCTGAGGGGTCATCCGATTTGGGATCCCCTTGTCCTCAGGTTCTAGCGTAACCTCTCTTGTTCATCTTGCCAGGAACATGGTTGCAGGTGGTTTGTTTGGCTTGTGGGAGGGAAGCAACTTCGTGGTCGACGGTAATTTTAAAAAGTCAGGCCCAGAAAGGGAAAGAGTAAGACCCTGAGATGTAGGATTAGGACATTTGAGTGGGCAATCAGATAGTTCTGACCTTTCTGCTCCGAATTTCCGTGAGGCCTCCCTGATGGCCTTACAGGGGTTCACCATTCAAAGCTTCCCTCCCAGGTACAAGGGATGCTCCCTTGGCCTCATGCCCACCCCTACCCCCACAAATTGAGGGGGCAATCAGAGAATTTTGATCTCCCCGCTCCAGATTTCCTTGAGGGCTCCCTGATGGCCTTACACAAAGTATATGCGAACTTTGGCTCTGTCTGGCCCTGGGCCCTGCTATAGCCTTTGCAAGGCGGAGGAGGGTCAGGCAGGCTGGACTGTGCCGCCCTCTTCTCCCACCTGCTCCAGGGTGTCTGGTGCTTCTTGCGGACAACTCTGGATGCCTGAAGAACAGGTGAGTCATATAAACAATTTATTGTCCATGAGGCCAGGGGAGCATCCCTTGTCGCTGGGAGGGAAGCTTTAAATGGTGAACTCAGACTGGGGACTCTGGTCCCCACCTTAGAGACTCCTTGCTCTGAGTAAGGCCACATTGCCTGAGTTTTGGGGACCGTGGCATGCCAAGGATGGCAGATAGAGGGACCCAGCCTCCTGGGCCCAGGCCTGCCCAACTTCCTCCAGTCCTACCACCCGGAGCACGAGGGCCCAGCACCACTCTTGGCCTCAGGGATCTGTCTCATGGGTGACCAGGTGGCCACTCAGGTCCTGGAGCCCGACCATTCCTGCCTCCTTGTATGAACTGAGGGTGGTGGCCAACCTGCCTACTCATCACCAAGATGACTAGTTGCTATTCGGGCCCCCTAAGGTCACTGACTTGGCCTTCTGGGGTTTGCGCAGGTCCCAAGTAGCCATGCACTGGTCTGAGAGGGCTCGCCCTGCTTTGGGCTAGATTCCAGTACTGGTCAGAGCCACAATCGGCTCAGTCTCTTTGGTGATCACCTTGGCTGCTGGAGGCTCCAGGCTCGGGCTGAGGCCAGATCAGACCCCTCTGGGCCTGGGGCTTGTGCCATGTGAGGGGACTCTGTCCCACAGCAGGTCAGCATGAGGACCCAGGACATTGTGCTGGCTGGCCAGAGCTATGAGAATGCCACACACACCCTCCCCTCCAGAAGCTTCCAAGTATCCAGCTTCCTTGTGGATGTTGGTCTCAGCTGGCTGAGGGACCATCTGGGGCTTCCAGGCAGCTTGCAGGGTAGGCTGCTGCCCTGGCTCCTTCCGGGTCATGCAGGTCAGTGAACCTGGCAGGAAGAGGACACGGGCCACCATGAACGGGAGGTGACTCGGGCTCTGCCTGTGCGTCTTCAGATGGCTGAGCAGGGGTTGATGATGGGCCCCAGGGAGGGTTCACGGCCATTTCTGTCCATGGTCCTGAGGGTAGCCCTCAGGATGTTGAAGGGATGGGGGCCCAGCATTCCTGCCTGAAGCAGTACTATGGGAACCATGGGCCCTGAGATCAGGGTCCAAGGGAAGGTTTGGGAGTGAATAACCACCCAACTGGTGGTCTGTCCTGGACTGGCCAGACCCTGAGCTCCTGGAACCCCCAGAGAAAGGCCTATGGCCCCAGGCTCTTTGGAGACCCTCATGCCACTGGAAGTCTCAGCCTTGGGAAGAACCTGGCCAGGCAAGGGTCAGGGAGGACCGCACTCCTGTTTTCGGGGGACTATCCTTATGGGGAGGCATGGTCTCACTGCGTCATCCAGGCTGAGTGCAGTGGCGTGATCATGGGTCACTGTTGCCTTGGCTTCCTAGCTTTGAGCAATTCTCCCACCTCAGCCTTCCATGTAACTGACACTACAGGCACATGCCACCGCACCTGGCTAATTTTTAAGTTTCTGTAGAGATGGGGTCTTGCCATATTGCCCCGGCTGGTCTCAAACCCCTGGACTAAAGTAGTCCTCCCACCTCAGCCTCCCAAAGTGTTGAGATTACAGGTGTGAGCCATCACGTTTAGCTGAGTTTTCCTTTATTTTTGAAAGATAATACAAGAATAATCATGTAACTTTCATTTTTCTAATGTCCTTGTTGAATTTTAATATCAAAACTACTGCTGGTGTCACAAAATAAGCTGAGTAGGCTTTCTGTTATATTCTCTGAAATCTTGACACTTTCTCTTTATTAAGTGATTGGCAGAATTTAGCAGTGAAGCTATCTGGGCCTGGAGATGACATAATGAAAATATTTTAATTTGGAGGTTCAATTTCTTTAGTAGCTTAAGACACTTCAGGGGTTTGTTTTTGATTATTGCAAGTTGAATTTTTCTATGAATTTGTCAATTTTACCAAACTTCACATTTATAAAGTTACTTGTGGCCAGGTGTAGTGGCTCATGCCTGAAATCCCAGCACTTTGGGAGGCTGAGCTGGGCGGATCACCTGAGGTCAGGAGTTCAAGACCGGCCTGACCAACATCGAGAAACTCCATCTTTTTTTTTTTTTTTTTTTTTTTTTTGAGACAGAGTTTCACTCTTGTTACCCAGGCTGGAGTGCAATGGCGCGATCTCAGCTCACCGCAACCTCCGCCTCCTGGGTTCAGGCAATTCTCCTGCCTCAGCCTCCTGAGTAGCTGGGAGAACAGGCACGCGCCACCATGTCCAGCTAATTTTTTGGTATTTTTAGTAGAGACGGGGTTTCACCATGTTGACCAGGATGGTCTCGATCTCTTGACCTCATGATCCACCTGCCTCGGCCTCCCAAAGTGCTGGGATTACAGGCTTGAGCCACCGCGCCCGGCCCGAGAAACTCCATCTTTACTAAAGATACAAAATTAGCTGGGTGTGGTGGCACAGGCCTGTAATCCCAGCAACTCAGGAGGCTGAGGCAGGAGAATTGTGGTGAGCCGAGATCACGCCACTGCATTCCAGCCTGGGCAACAAGAATGAAACTCCATCTCAAAAAAAAAAAAAAAAAAAAAAAAAAAGCTACTTCTAATATCCTTAGTCTTTTGAATCCTATTCATTTATAATGTTTGCGAATATACATATATATATATGTATGTATGGTTTTTTTTTTGAGACGGAGTCTTGCTCTTGTTGCCCAGGCTAGAGTGCAATGGCACGATCTTGGCTCACAGCAACCTCCGCCTCCTGGGTTCAAGTGATTCTCCTGCCTCAGCCTCCTGAGTAGCTGAGATTACAGGTGCCTGCAACCACGCCGGGCTAATTTTTTGTAGAGACGGGGTCTCACTATGTTGGTCAGGCTAGTCTTTAACTCCTGACCTCAAGTGATCCACCTGCCTTGGCCTCCCAAAGTGCTAGGATCGTAGGCATGAGCCACTGCTCCGGGCCAAGACTATATTATTAGGTACATACAAATTTGGAAAATTTCGCTAATGAACTGAATATAATTAGAACTAAATGTGTTTACCCCTAGTAATTATTTTTGCCTTGAAATTGTATCTTATATTAAATAACCGCTCTTTGCCTTAAAATCTATTTTTTTGTTGTTGTTGTTGAGACAGACTCACTCTGTTGCTCAGGCCTGAGTGCAGTGGCACGATCTCTACATCACAACCTCTGTCTCCCAGGTTCAAGCGATTCTCCTGCCTCAGCCTCAGATTACAGGCCTGCACCACCACAGCTGGCATATTTTTGTATTTTCAGTAGAGATGGTATTTCACCATGTTGGCCAGGCTGGTCTTGAACTCCCGACCTCAGGTGATCTGCCCAGCTCAGCCTCCCCAAGTGTTGGGACCACAGGCATGAGCCACCACACCCGGGCTCTATTGTTTGATATCAGATAACTACACCAGATTTTTGGTGTGTGTATGCATGGTAATCATTTTTTATCCTTTTACTTGCAAATGTTATATACATTTTAGAGTTCTCTTTGAAGTTCTCTTAGAAGCTTACAGTCTGTAGATGTGACTGGAGAAATAAACAGAGGCCAGATCATAAGAACATCAGACTTTCCTGAAAGCAAGAATGGGGGTTTAACAGGTTTTATCTTTCCACTAAGTGTTTGGAGGCCAGCGTCCATAACAGTGCTAGTCACCCTCAGTGCTCACAGAAGAGTTTATCCACATGAAGCATAAAATAAACATTTTAAAAATAAAAGATTGCTAAGAATAAGTTTCTGTAGTCTATCTGTTTTTACCCTTGAACCACAATCATGCTGTCTTACTTCTTACATAAACTTTAAACTACTGGTACCTGATACCGCAAGTCCTTCCATTGTTCCGTCTTCTGCATGGTTCCACTTCCTTCTCTTGGCCCTCTGCACTTTAATCTTTTACAATCACCTCATCAGTCAAATTATTATAAGGAGAAAGAGCTAGCTAGGATTATATGGAGATTTATTAAATTAGAAAATTAATTCCAGGAATGCTTATTTCCTTATATACACAGCTGCTTCTGGCTCACACTCATCCTGAGGGAGCAGAGGTTGGTAAACCAGCCTCAGTGCGGAGGGTCTCCCGCTGGATCCCCAACTGGAGCCATCCCTGGGCCTAGACTTCCGTCTCCCTCACTTCCAAATGAGTGCTCAGTCACAGGAAGCACACAAGAGGCCCTCAGGGCAGAAGTGGCTGTGCCTGGTGCCACCTTGCCCAGGACCTCCCAAAAATGAGGGCCATGAGACAATGCCACTTTATTTCCCTTGAGAGAAATGGAGGAGGAACCGACATAACACAGAGACACCTGAGGTTTTTAGAATCTATAACCTCACATACTGAACTAGTTAGTGTTTAATGTCTCTGAGAATAAAACCAAATCTTCCCTCCACTTGCGTTTCCAACATGTGGACGCCTTGCTCTCTGCACTTCTCCTTGGCCAGGAGGTGACACCTGGGGAAGCAGCACCAAGGCAGGCATCGCCATTCCGCACAGGCAGGCCCTGACTGGCAGCAGAGCTCACTGTTCTGCTGGGTAATCACCAAGGCACGCATCGCCATTCCGCACAGGCAGGCCCTGACTGGCAGCAGAGCTCACTGTTCTGATGGGTAAGTCAGGAGCACACAGACTCACCAAGCACAGGCCGGGAATCTCTGCTGGATGCTCTTGGCTAGGAGCATAACCTCTGCCTCAAGACCAGCCCTCACAAGGGTTAAGGGGCAGGGTGTGGTGTGGAGTGGGCCCAGTGTGGCCATGGGGAGGCCTTGGAGGGTGGAGCCGGGCAGGTGGCAGAGGAACAAGGGGACTGGGTGGTCCTTAGGCACAGGCAGACAGGCCCAGGGCCAGCTTCTCACCCCTCCGGGATGAAGGGCCAAATCAGCTCCGGGTTCAACAGCGACTCCTCAAGAGGCTGGTCCACGTGGAAATCATGAACGTGGGGGGGGCCTGGATGGGCCTTGGGGGCAGGTCCCCCTGGACGCTGAGGAATCGGCAGCTCAGACGGGTGGGCAGGCAGAGGAGCCGTGAAGAAGTACTGATGGAGGAGAGCCTGGGGGTGGCAAGTAAGGAACAGCAGAAGGAAACCAGTCACCTCCCTGTCCTCAGCCTCAGGCAGATGTTCCTTCATCTGTGCATTCAGCGGACTCAGTGTCTGCGTATTTTCTGAGTGTCTACTATGTCTGAAGCACTGTTCCAGAAGCTGGGGACATAGCCGCTAATAAAACAGACAAAAGGTCGGTCTTTCTGACGTAGGTGGGGGTGGGGAGTAACAAACAAGATGAAGTAAAATACACCGTATGTCAGATAATGACTAGTGCAGTGGGAAAGAGACAGCAAGAGAGAGGAATGAGGAATCCTGGAGAGAGGTTGCAGATCTGAAGCATCATGAGGGAAGGCCATCTGAGAGGTGACATTTTAGCCAAGACTTGAGACATGAGCACGTGGGACACGAGGTTCCAGGGCAGAGACAAAAGTGTACAGCCCCGAGGGGATGCCCCGGTGTGTGGAGGAGGCCCTGGGGCTGGAGAGCAGTGAGCACAGGGCACAACAGCTGGCAGCGTCATGAGGTGATGGCACCCAAACAGGTGGTATCTGTGGGCCACAGAAAAGACCCTGGCTCTTCCTCTCAGATGGAGTCATAGGAGGGCCCTGGCAGAGCAGGAATGTGTCCTGCTCTATTTGGATAAAGTTACTCTCTCTGCCAGGTGGAGAAGAGATTAAATGGGATGAGGGGAGACCCAGATTCTGGGAGGCAATCAGGAGGTAAGGGTCAGATGGCTGGGGTGCACTGTGGATGCAGAGCCCACAGGAGCTGCTGACAGTGGAGACCAAGAGAGCTTGTATGAACACATGCTGCTGGTGCTGCGTGCAGAGAGGGGACAGGGACCCCTGAGAGACACACCCTGCCTGACACCCGCCAGCCCATGACCCTGTGGTCCTCATCGTCCTCCCAGGCCTTCCAGCCTGTATCAGCCTTCCTCGGTCCTCTCCTCCAGGCTGCTGCCTACCATTTCTCTCTTCAGCCAACACCTCCTCCAACATCTCATGCTTAAACCTGCCCTCCACCAGAAAGCTTTGCTCGACCCCAAAGTTGGTCTCGCCTCTCCTCTGGGGCTCCCACACCGGGACAGCACAATCTCTTGTGACCTTTTGGGCCTGGAGTGCCCCATGGAGGCAGGTCTGATTGTTCACCATCTGTGTGGGGCCCGGGACAACCCCTGCCACGTGAGGGTGTGCAGAAAATACTTGCTAAAGGAATGAAGGAACGAATCCCCAGTGCTTCGCCCTACAGGATCAGAGGCAGCCCAGAAGTCAGCACCCCTGGACATGTATGTGCTCTCCTGTGAGGCGGGCATGCCCCTCTTAGAGGCCACCCTCAGGAGAACTCTAGGGATGTCCAGTGGGGTCTGCTCAGGAGAGGCACACCTGCTCCAACGTCCCTGTCCCCTGGGTTCCAGATGCCTGGTGCTGGTCCCTGCCCATCAGTTTCTGAGAGCTGCTGACTTGATGGAGTCACGTGGCTACCAAGTACAGAATACCAGGGTGATGGGGAGGGGAGCTGAAGGAGCAGAGACCCCAGCCTCTTGCCTTACCTTGGAGGCTGCGATGCGCCGGTGAGGAGGGTAGAGGAGGAACTGACCCAGCAAGTCCAATGCCTGGGGAGAGGCGTCGGGCAGCACCTCCTCCAGAGGCACGGGTGCCTGTTCCTTGAAGGAGATCTTGTTGTAGTCCGGCAGCTCAGCGAGCTCCTGGGCCAGGGAGAAGGAACAGGGTCCATGACAGTAGTCCCCAACCCTCACCACACCCTCTGCTGTCAGCTCTCAGCCCCTAACACACCTTCATGTGGGGGATGCTCTCCCACCATGTGTCTCCCCGACCCACTCAACCACCCCTACATTCCTTAATCCATCCCATTGCCTTCTCAGATGGCAGCTCTGTGCCCAGCTTGCTGAGACAGTGCACATGTGTATACTGGGGTGAAAGGGGACAAAGGACAAGACCTACCCCCAAACCTGCATGACAGCAGGAAGGAGGAATCCCTGAGTTGGGGCAGGACAGTGGTCCCTGTCCATCAAGGGGGGTTGGGGCCAGGAGAGAGAAGGTTCAGGGGAGGGAGTGGTCACTTGCTGTCAGGGAGTGGAGTAAACCTGCCCCACGCCCATCCCACCAAGGGGCCCTACAAACCGGCCAGACTTGAGGGCTGGGGGTGCCCAAGATGCGAAGCACACAGCAAAGCTGTTCAATGTCGTTCTCACCCGGGAAAAGTGGGGACCCATTCAACAGCTCCCCCATGATGCAGCCCACGGCCCTGTGGACAGAGTCCCAAGCAGCTCAGAGATGTCCCACCATGGACCACAGACCCACCCGCAGAGCAGCTCTAACACCGCACTCCAGGGCAAGGCCCCCACAAGCCAGCCCTGGAGCGTCATGTCCAGGGGCCCAGTCCCTGAACCCTCAAAGCCCTCAACCCTAGCACCCAGAGCAAAGCCCCAGCTGTTCCAAGACTTCTCAGAGACTCCTACTCTAGGGCACACAGCTCCCCTGCACTTTCTGGGGCAGACCTGCAAGCTGCCCCAAATCTCAGACCCATGGGCACTGCCAACTATCTTCTTCTTGCAAAACAAGCTCAGAGCTTTCATGTCCAAGGATACGGGCCACTGACCAGCTCAGAGATACCATATCCTGGGATCTAACTCCAGCACATACCAGCTCAGACCACCTCCCCACTTAGCCCAGAAAGCTTCCCACCATTCTCATCCCACCTGACCCCCACCTAGCTCAAAAACATCATAGTGAGGATCCCAACCCCAAAGGGTTCAGAATACCCTAACCAGGGAAGACACCCTTAAGGGAGCCTAAACTCCCACCATGGAAAAGACCACCAAACAGCTCAGAGACCTCAGAGCCTAGCAGAAATCCATGAGCCATGTTACCCTTTGACCACCCATGGGGGTCTTACCACAGATCGACGCCCTGGTCATACTGGCGGGCACCATACAGGAGCTCGGGGGCTCGGTACCACCTGCGAGGAAGAGAGGTGGGCACTGGCCTGAGAAAAGGATGCCTGAGGAGGTGACCCCAGCCCCACAGCAACGTCCGGAGAAGAGGCCCAGAAACATCTCTTCCCCATGGCGAGGGCTGGAAGGGATCTGGCCCTCCCTACCTGGTGGCCACCTGGTGTGTGTAGAGGCGGCTGCCATCTGGGGAAAAGACACGGGCCAATCCAAAGTCTGCTATCTTGAGCTGGCCTGAGGCACTAATGAGCAGGTTGGCAGGTTTCAGGTCCTGGGAGTGCCAAAGGAAGGATCAGTCCCTCCAAATCCCCCACAGGACCTTGGGACAAGACGGCTTGGCAGTCTAACCACCCAGGTCAACCATGGTCCCTGCCTCCTCCAGGGCCATGCCCTGGCTGCTTACCTGGAGGCCTTGACCAGCTCTGTCCCCACTTCTGGTCATGCTTTTTACAAGGGCTAGCCCCATCCCCAAGCCGAGTCAGCTCCCCAGACCCCACCCCCGGCCTATGCTGAGACTGACCCGATGCACGATGTTGTTGGCATGGCAGAAGGCGACACCCTTGAGCAGCATCTGCAGGTAGCTCTTGACCTGTGCCTGGGCTAGTGGCCTCTGGGCATGGCGCACCACCTCAGCCAGATCCGACAGCATGAACTCAAAGGCCAGCACAAAGCCTGCACCATGTGGGAACACAGCCTTTAGCTGCACCACCTGTGGGCAGGACATCCTGTTAGCCCCTAGATTCCAATCACCAGACCCTCTCTGTGACCGAGACCTCACCCTAGGCTCTGACAGAGAACCAGGTAGATGGAGAAGGTGACATGGGACCTGAGCTAAGAATCAGAAAGCTCGTGCTCATGACTTGCTCGGCTCTCCTCAGATAAGGTGGGCCCCCACTCTTATTTCTCCATGAACACTCAGGGAAAAGGTCTAAAGAAGGTCATTTAGTGGCAGCATCTGGTCCACCCACCCAGCCCACCTGCCTGAGAATCATCTGGATGGTCACACATGAGATGGACACACAGGTCTCCTCCTTTTTCCTCTAGAGCCATCGAATCCCAGCACCGAGCAAAGGACACCAGAAATCCCACCTTTCCCGGTGCTGGGACAGCTACAGACGCATCACAAACACTGAGGCCACCACTGTCAGAGGGTCAGGCTACACAGAGCTGAGAGACAGGACTCTTAAGGAACGCGCAGCACAGAGGACTAACAAATAAATGAACAAATGGGATATATTCAAATTCTGTAAGCACAAGAGTAGAAATAGAAAAAGGCCAGGCATGGCATCTCATGCCTGTAATCCCAACACTTCGGGAGGCCAATGTGGGTGGATGGCTTGAATCCAGGAGTTTGAGACTAGCCTGGGCAACATGGTGAAACCTTGTCTCTACAAAAAATTAGCCCGGGATGGTGGCACATGCCTGTAGTCCTAGCTACTTGAGAGGCTGGGGTGGGAGGATCACCTGAGCCCAGGAGACTGAGACTGCACAGAGCCAAGATCACACTACTACATTCCAGCTGGGTGAGAGTGAGACCCTGTATTAAACAAACAAACAAACAAACAAACACCAGAAACAGAAGAGAGGATAGTGTGATTCTGTGTGAGTGGAGAAAAGGATACTTCTTTATTTAGATGGAGTGGGGCTAGATGAAGACCCAGTTTGTGGGGATCTGGAATGACGCTCTGGGCAGGGGGAGAAGCAAGTACAGGGAGACGAGGGATGTGAGAACATGAGGCTGTTCAAGGAAAGGACATGTCTGCCCTGTTCTGTGCTCCTGGATCCTAGATAGCTGCTGGTCCCTGAGAGATGCCTAAGAAGTTGTACTGAATGAGAGAAAAGGGAGAGGCCAGCTGGAGGTGGGCACAAGGTGACTGTGCTCTAAGTGTAAAGAGAAGCCACCAGGGCTCTTTAAGCAGGGGAGCAGATGACCTGACACACTTTTTTTTTTTTTTTTTTTTTTTTTTTGAGACGGAGTTTCGCTCTTGTTGCCCAGGCTGGAGTGCAATGGCGCGATCTCGGCTCACCGCAACCTCCACCTCCTGGGTTCAGGCAATTCTCCTGCCTCAGCCTCCCGAGTAGCTGGGATTATAGGCACGCGCCACCATGCCCAGCTAATTTTTTGTATTTTTAGTAGAGACGAGGTTTCACCATGTTGACCAGGTTGGTCTCGATCTCTCGACCTTGTGATCCACCCGCCTCGGCCTCCCAAAGTGCTGGGATTACAGGCTTGAGCCACCGCGCCCGGCCCTGACACACTTTTGACATAGCTCTCTAGACTGTGGCTGTGGAGAGCAGTGGGGAGGCTGCTGCTGTTGTTCTGATGAGTGGTGGTGATGACTTGGGCAGGGGGCAAATCTGGAGTATGTTTTAAAGTTAGAACCTTCAGAATTCCTGACCAACTGGATGCAGGGACCATATCACCATATTACCAGCTTGCTTATGGATCTCTTTCCACTTATCCCACATATGGCTGTCTGGAAGCCCTTTTATCTTCCTCAAAAAATCAAAATAGGGCCGGGCACAGTGGCTCATGCTTGTAATCCCAGCACTCTGGGAGGCTGAGGAGGGCAGATCACAAGGTCAGGAGTTCGAGACCAGCCCGGCCAACATGGTGAAACCCAACCCCATCTCTACTAAAAATACAAAAATTAGCCGGGTTTTGTGGCAGGTGCCTGTAATCCCAGCTACTGTGGCGGCTGAGGCAGGAGAATTGCTTGAACCCAGGAGGCGTAGGTTGTGGTGAGCAGAGATCGTGCCATTGCACTCCAGCCTGGGCAACAGAGAAAGACTCTATCTCAAAAAAAAAAAAAAAAAAAAAAAAGGAATAAAAAAAGAAAAAAAAATCAAAATGGCCTGATTGCTGTTTTCTGATTTTTCAGGTAGTACATAATCATTTAACAGATCAAAACACATCCACACATTCAGGTAAGGCACAAAATTAGAAAGAAAAAAAAGAACAAAAGAAAAATCCTACAGTCATTACAGTGCACTTTACCAGACTTTACAACAGATATGGCACACACAAATACACATTCACATATGTAATATTTCCAAACAAAATCCAGATGACACAAAGTGTTACAACATGCTTTTTTGTCATCCAATATATCATGAATATCTCCAGGGAACAGCAAAGATAAGTCAGATGATCACAGAGACCCAACTCTGTTACTCTCCAGGGAGTCGAATACATTCCCTGTTTCAACATGGATGAGAGAGAGCACCAAAAGAGTAAGGACACTGGAGATGAAAGATGCCCCTGCTCGGGTTCCAGTAGCCCCTCCTCAAACCCCATCACAGCACGAACCACACTAGGTGACCCCGGCTGCCTCTGTCTCTTGCTAGCACACTTACATCCTCAGGAGCTGGGTTGGAGCTAATTTCTCTGTGTCACCAGTGCCCAACACAGGGTAGGGCCTAAGGGAGGCCCCAAGGAAAGAATGTCTGGACTCTCAATCAAACCTGGGCCAAACTCTCTACTGACCAACTGAGGGCTCACGAGCTGGTGACTTCACCTCCCCTCCTCACCTGAGAAACAGAGAACCTGAAACCTGCCTTGTAGAGTAGTAAAGAGGTATCAAAATGACAACGCCTACAATGCCCAAAGAACACATGGGAGCTCAACAGCTGCCAGTTATATTAGAAATCACTAAATGGCTTGAGAAAAAAAGTCGGTGAATGAATGAATACATTAAGAAGTGGATAAATGAGAGTGAATGTGTGAGAAATGAAAGAATGAGGTCCAAGGAAGTGAGAACAAGCGAAGGAGGGCGAGAACGCGATGCCCCGCACCCCCTACTCACATACTGATTGTCCTCCATCTCCTGCAGAGCCTTAATCTCCCGCAGGGCCTGGTTAGGGATACCGTCCTCCAACCGCCGTAGGGCTACCTTCTTGAGGGCAACTATCTCGCCAGTCTGCAGGACAGAAGGCAGACAATGCCAGCCCACCCTCGGCTGGGAAAGAGAGCTGAAGGTGGGTTGGGGGAGGGTGGGTGAGAAAGAGACCTGCGCCCCTGGGTAGGCCAGAGGCCCTTCTCCGGGGTCCAGGACTAGCCTGGCACCCAGCCGCTGGGGTGGACCAAGACAGCTGTCGGGAGGGCAGCGCAACGGCCCAAAGGAGGTGTAGAATGTGAGCAGGTTTTAAAAACCGTACTGGATGTAAAAAGGGAACCGAAGCGGCTTAGAGCGTTAGCCGGAGAGAGGCGGGAGGACTACCCCGCCAGGCTGCCAGCCGCGGTCCGGCCTCACCTCCACGTGCTTGGCCTTGAAGACGATGCCGTGGGCGCCCTCCCCGATGCGGCCCAGGATACAGTACTGGTCCATCCCGGTGCAGTCTCCGGGTCTGTGCGCCTAGGCTGCCAAATCCCACTTCTTCTCCGCCCCGCGCCGCTCAGAGCGCGCACGCTGTTGCCTAGCAACAGGGCTGCAGCCGACCACTGGGGCGGGGCCTGTGGGACGCGTCACCAGGAGAACGGAAGCTGCGTCCAGTCGGCGATGACCGCTCCAGGCTCCACTGCGCCTTTTCCTAGCCCCCTGCTGTCTCGCAGCAGCAAGCTTAATCTGGTATAAAACAAAACAAAACAAAACAAAACAAAACCACACATGCTGAGAGCCTGCCGGCGACAGGGTCCAGGGAGCAATGGCGGCCGGCACCGCCCACCTGCCCCGCCTCGGCGTCACGTGACTAATGCGCCTGTGCGCGCCGCCGGAAGGGGCGGGCTCCTCTCCCCGAGGCCGGAAGCTCCGCAGCTGTCAGTAGACGTTCCCTCTTCCACCACGTGCGGGTGCTGTTCTCTAGCTCCGAGACGCAGACACGGTGATGATGAAGACAGACGGGCCCAGGGCTGCGTTGTGGAGAGAGGGTCCCTTGGGCCTCCTGTCTTAAAATGTCAGTTGGCTACGTGTACCCACAGCTTTTTAAAAGGACATACTCTGACCGATACTGGACAGAGTAGGCCTTAAACTTCTGAAAGGATGCTCAACTTCACGCACGATAAACAAATACAAACTCAAGCTACAGTTTTCCAGATATTAGATGGCTAAAGATTTCAGGTCTAATAGTTCATTGACCAAGCTACGGGAAAACAAGCACTTTCATACATTGCTGGTGGCATTGTAATTTGACGATGTTGATCAGATCACAAATGTATAGACTCGGAGTCAGCAAAGCCACTTCTAGTAATTTCCCCATAGACACGTTATACACAGCGGAAATGACAGGTACAAAGTTATTCCATTGTAACATTGTTTCAATGGCAAACTATTGGAAACAACGCAGCTGTTCGTCAATAGATGACTAAATGCTGGCACATCCTTCATATGAAATATTAAATGTCTTGGCCGGGTGCGGTGGCTCAAGCCTGTAATCCCAGCACTTTGGGAGGCCAAGGCGGGTGGATCACGAGGTCAAGAGATCGAGACCATCCTGCTCAACATGGTGAAACCCCGTCTCTACTAAAAATACAAAACATTAGCTGGGCATGGTGGCGCGTGCCTGTAATCCCAGCTACTCAGGAGGCTGAGGCAGGAGAATTGCTTGAACCCAGGAGGCGGAGGTTGCGGTGAGCCGAGATGGCGCCATTGCACTCCAGCCTGGGTAACAAGAGTGAAACTCCGTCTCAAAAAAAAAAAAAAAAAAAAAAAAAAGAAATATTATGTGTCTTTTTATGTACACCAATAGGAAGATTTCTAAAATAGGTTGTTAAATGAAAAAGGCTGCCGGGGGTGGTGGCTCACGCCTGTAATTCAAGCACTTTGGAGGCCAAGGCAGGTGGATCACCTGAGGTCGGGAGTTCAAGACCAGCCTGACCAACATGGTGAAACCCTGTCTTTATTTAAAAAATAAAAAACAAATAAAGAAAAAGGCAAGATGCAGGACAGACTGTATAGAGTATCACTGGCTGTGTAAACAAAAGGAGAAAAGAATGTAAACAATGCTTGTCATCCTTACAAGATATCTGAAAAGATACACAAGATTTCCTGAGTGAGGTGACCCTGTGGAAGAGGAACTGGAAAGATTGAGGGATGGGATAGAAGGCAGCCTTTTCACTGGGCCTTTTTATATTTTTTGAGTTTTGAACTGTATAATTTATTAATTTTCCAAACAAGCAAATATTTTCTAGCTTAGAAATTCTACTTCCAGGTTAGTAATTGCAGAAGAATGACTTCGTGTCCATACAAAGTATTCCTCCTGTTTGATGATAGCAGAGACTGGAAAGCAACCCAAATACCCAGATGGAAGAATGGCAAAGTTAAGGGAGTGCCATAGAATGAAGTAGTTTTAGCATTAAAAATAACGAAGATAGGCCAGGCACTGTGACTCAGGCCTGTAATCCCAGCACCTTGAGAGGCCAAGGCCCACGGATCACTTGAGGTCAGGAGTTCGAGACCAGCCTGGCCAATATGGCAAAACCCTGTCTCTACTAGAAATACAAAAATTAGGTGGGCATGGTGGTGCTTACCTGTAGTCCCAGGTACTCAGGAGGCTGAGGCAGGAGAATCACTTGAAGTGATCCAAGAGTAGAGGTTGCAGTGAGTCAAGGTTGCACCACTGCACCCCCAAACTGTGTGACAGAGTGAGACTCTGACTCAAAAAAAGAAAAAAAGTGCTGACAATAGATACAGTAGTGCAGTAGGGAAAGACTTGGTCTTCACAAAATAGTGCTGGGTCATTTGAGAAGTCATAAGAAGAAAAAAATGTACATTGACCCCAGTCTCACACCATTTACAAAATTGATTCCAAGTGGACTGCAATCTAAATATAAAAGGTAAATAATGAGGCTTTTAGAAGAAAACAATATCTTAATGATTTTGGATTAATTCAAGATCCTTATGTTACAGAATATACTAAAAGAAAAAGATAAATGAGAAATTGACCTTCATCAGTAGTAAGAATATCTGTTCCTCAAAAGATACTGTTAGAGGCCAGGCACGGTGGCTCACACCTGTAACCTGATCACTTTGGGAAACCGGGGTGGGAGGATCACTTGAGGTCAGGAGTTCGAGAGCAGCCTGGCCAACATGGTGAAACTCTGTCTCTGTTAAAAATACAAAAATTAGCTAGTCATGGTGGCATGCACCTCTAATCCCAGCTACTCAGGAGGCTGAGGCAGGAGAGTTGTTTGAATCCAGGAGGTGGAAGTTGAAGTGAGCCGAGATCATGCCACTGTACTCCAGCAGGGGTGACAGAGTGAGACTCCATCTCAAAAAGAAAAAAGAAAAAAAGAAAGGATACCATTAGAGAGTGAACAACAAAGCCACAGAAAGGCAAAAGAGGACTGTAATATATATATATCTGACAAAGAACTCACATCTAGAATTTATAGAGAACTTTTATTATAACAATAAAGAAGAAGCAGACAATCTTGCGAAAAAATTAGAAAAAAAAAAAAAACAAAAAACAAAAAACTGACACAGACACTTTGCAAAAGGGGATTCCTAAATGGACAATAAACTTTTGCAAGATCTGTGTTTAACTTCCCTGACTATTCCCTGACTAGAAGGGAATTTCAAATTAAAACCACAATACAGTGTTATTGTTACCACCAGAATAGTTTAAATAAAAACGATCAGTAGAGCAACCGAAACTCTCATACACTGCTGCTAAGACTGCAAGTTCATACAACCCCTTTGAAAAACTGGCACTTTTTTCCACAGACACACACCACCACGCTCATAGAGGCGGGGTCTCTCTATGTTGCCCATGCTGGTCCTGGGCTCGAGGGATCCTCCCACCTTGGCCTCCCAAAGTACTGAACTCAGAGGCACGAGCACCACACCCAGCTCCACTTTGTCAAGTTTTACTAGCTAGTTTGAGGTTCAGGAAAAGTTTCAAAGAAAATGTCTTTTTATGGGACTCGTGACTTTTTTTTTCCAAATCAATAGCTGCATAATGACTTTTACATGACTGCATTTTACTTCTCTTCTCATACATAAGACTGTTGTACAATTATCCAATGCTTTATGAAGCACTGTTTTGTGCATAACGTCACAATACAAAGACTAGTATGATTATGGTAATATGGGAGTTATTTCATTCTTCAAGAAGTGCTAAAAGGAAGTGATAATTTCAATTGATGCAGAAAAGCGTTTAACAAAATTAACACTCTTTAATGAAGAAGGCACTCAACAAAACTATAAATATAAGAAAACCACCTCAACAGAATGCATGCCGTGTAGAAGAAAGGCCACAGTTTTCAATGGTGAAAGATTGAAAGCTTTCCCTCTAAGAACAAAAACGAGTCAAGGATGCTCGCTTCTGCCACTTTTATTTGACTTAGTACTGTGGAAGGAAACCCAAGCGTCTAAGATCACCTCCCCCTTGACTTCCACACTGCATTTCAATAGAAGAAAAGGCTGGCCGACTGGTGCCTCCTAAAATCGCCTTCCTATAGGCTGGGCATGGTGGCTCATGCCTGTAATCCAAGCACTTTGGAGGCCAAGGCGAGTGGATCACCTGAGGTCGGGAGTTCAAGACCAGCCTGACCAACATGGTGAAACCCCATCTTTTTTCTAAAAAATTAAAAAGAAAAAAAAAAAAGAATGGACAAATTGGCCAGACAGAGTGGCTCATGCCTGTAATCCCAGCACATTGGGAGGCTGAGGCAGGTGGATCACAAGGTCGGGAGTTTGAGACCAGCCTGGCCAACATGAGGAAACCCTGTCTCTACTAAAAATGCAAAAATTATCTGGGCACAGTGGTGCATGACTGTAATCCTAGCTACTCAGGAGGCTGAGGCAGGTAGGAATTGCTTGAACCTGGGAGGCAAAGGTTGCATTGAACTGAGATTGTGCCACTGCACACTCCAGCCTGGGCAACAGAGCAAGACTCCATCTCAGAAAAAAAAGAAAGAAAGAAAGACAGAAAGAATGGGCAAATGATATGAATAAGACATTTCTCAAAAGATGACATGCAAATGGCCATGAAACTTACGAAAAATGCTCAATGACACTAATCATCAGAGAAATGCAAATCAAAACCACAATGAAGTATCATCTTATCCCAGTTAGGAAGGCTAAAATAACAAATCCTGGCAAGCATGCAGATAAAAGTAAACTCTAATATGCTGTTGATGAAAATGTAAATTAATACAGCCACGATGGAAAACAGTATGGAGGTTCCTCACAAAACTACAAATAGAACTACCGTATGATCCAGCGCTCCCACTACTGGACATTTATCCAAAGGAAAGGAAATCAGTATGTTGAGGAGACATCCTCATCCCTGTGTTTACTGCAGCACTATTCATAACAGCTAAGATATGGAATCAAGGTGTCCAACAATAGACAAATGAATTTTTAAATGTGATATATATATATATACACACACACGCACACACACACACACACACACACATCCATATATATATATGCAGTGGAATATTATTCAGCTACAAAAAGAATGAAATCCTGTTATTCACTGTGACATAGATGGAACTGGAGGACAGTATATTAAGTGAAATAAGGCCGGAACAGAAAGTGAAACACCGCATGTTCTCACATGCGGAAGCCAGGGTAAGTTGATGTCGTAGAAGTAAAAAGTAGAACAGAACATATTTGTGGTAGAGAAGCGGGTATAGGTAGGGAGAGATTTGTCAAAGGACACAAAATCACAACTAGCTAGATAAACATTGCACTCCAGCCTGGGTAACAAGAGCGAAACT